TTTAATTCACTCATCAAAAGTGTTGTGAATTTCTTGAAAGAACATAGATGGGTGATTCGTCCTTAGCCAACGACAGTTGAAGTTAAGGCGAGTTGTGAACAAATCGATCCCATCCTCTATAATGCTCATCATTCTTTGTAATCTCAAACGACAGTTTAGGGTGTTAGATTGATTGATGAAGTAGTTGATGCCACGACAGTGGGTCCTCTTGATTTTATGATTGAGTTCTAGATTGGTTCTTAATTGATATCCTGAATAATTGCTTGGTTCTAGATGATCTAATCCCTAAGATATTCTCCCTTAGCCTAACGTCTTCATTATCATTGCTTACACCGTAGTTACATATTTGCTTTCTAATCGTGACAACTTAAAACCACTTGATCACTTAGCTGAAATTGTATCTCAAAAGATTAGAGTGTATTGTTGGTCCCTTTGAACGAACCTCACTATTCTGCATTCGAATTAGTGATACCTAGGTTTTAATCTTATAAAACCGGATAAAGGACTAACATCACTAATACATAACGAATGAGGGCTACTCCATGGGTGTGTAATAACCACAAGGAGTCAAGGACCACAACACCTACACTACAAGAAAACAATTTCGAACCGACGGCCAAAATCGTCGGATAATCGTCAGAAAAAAATCATTTCCGACAGACTTGTTACACGAATTGTTGGTCGGATCGGTTTGGTCAGAAATTCAAAATAGGTCGGAAATACGTCGGTATTTTCAACGGATTACTGACAGTGTATATTCGTACCAACGGATTTTCAACAGACTAATTTTCGACGAATTACGAACCTGACATATAGTCGGAAACAATTCGACGGTTATCTGACAACTCTTGACTGTCGGAAGTTAACCGATAGAAATCCAACGGAGTCCAAATCGGCGGTATCCGACGCCATTCCGACGGAGTTTTCCAACGGATTTCTGACGGAATCGGATAATAAATATACAATTTATTTTTTACACTATGTTTTAATTTGAATTTTAAATTAAAACTAAAATTCAGATTAAAATAGTTAATAAATTTAAACTAATTTTTTTTTTAAACATAATAAAATTCAGTTTTGAAAATATAAAAAACATAGCTAATTCATTAAGCGAATGTCTAAAAATCTTGTCCCGGATAAGCCGTCTCGAGAAACGCCTTCAACCGTGCTCGGAAGTCTTCGTTTTCCTTGTCCTTCCTCTCTCGCTCTGCTCTCTCCTCGTTGGATCTCTCAATTTCTTCTTCAAGATGCGTAAGGTTGTAAGAACAAGAAGATGTTGCTTGGTCTAGTTCCGGAAGCCGACCAACCCCGAACTTACGTTCTTTTTTTGTTGGAACATGCTATAAAAACAGAAAGAGTTATTAGTTTTTAGAAATTTAGAAAGAGAAACAACTAAATAAATTAAACACTTACGTTAAGCACGATAAGGTTCATGTCATCACGGGGTAAGTCCTCCGCGTTTGATCCAACCTGAGATAGTTGAGTTTGACGGTCTTCCTATATCGCCGCGGGGTACTCCTCAACCACCTTATCTTGAACCATTGTTTTTTCTTTGAGTTAACCTCAAACTGAAAGGGTCATAGATCTTGTTATACTTCAAGTAGAGAAATTTAGAAATCTTTAATAATCAAATCTGCAAATATTCGTTACAATATTTAACAATCAAACCCAAATATTATTTGTTGCAATATTGAGTAACGAGTAGCACACAGTGTGATACACAGTAAAACTCCAAGATCAGACTAGCTTAAGATTATTTAATCTGGTGCAGAAGTTTTCATCTAACTAAAAACTTTGTTTATATAAACTTTTTATTTTGTTGTTGTTCATATATATATAAACCTAATTACAAATCATGGTATTGAAATATATAGAAGTTTTNAAGAACAACATAAGCATGACCATTTTATCAGTCGTGTATAAAATGACATTCTTTTGTGTGTGGAAACTTGCATTTAGTAATCCTTTCAGAGATCGCCTCACTAAGTGACATTCTTTCTATAGTTGAACCAGTTACAATCAGTAAAAAACATAAACCAAATATTTCTTACCGTATACAATGTCTTTTTATTTTGCATTTTATAACATGATCATCTCAAAAATTTTAACCTTCCAATATTTTCTTTGAAGAGCAAAACCAATATTCACTATATACACAATAACATTTGTTTTTAAAGCTGAATTAGCTAGCTAGGTAAGCCACTTTCTAATTAAATTGGAAATGATGTTATATATGTATTCACATCTCAATTTATATATAGATAGACTGAATGCTCTTTTATCGTACATAAAACTTTATATTAAAACCAAACCAAACCAAACCAACATAACATATCTGGTACATGTCATAATGTCATCATGCATATGACTTATTTTATGCAAAATACACACTCAATATTAGCTACGAAAGAGTTTTATGCAAAATACACACTCAATATGTTGTTGTGTAGATCAGCAATTGAAGTAACAGATACACTTGTGAGCAGGGAAGACATAGTTGCAAGATCCATGTCGTGCTCCTTCAAGTCTCTGGCACTGACCACTACACGCGTTATTATTTCCACAAACTCCTGACCATGTCCCACTTGGCCTCTCGCACAATCTTGCTTCCACCATTGTTGGTGTTTCTGCATAAGATATACAAATGTCTCACAAGGTTAATTCTTAAATNATNTGGAAAAAAGAGGAAAATGAAAAACTCATCTTGCCATGCATATGATAAAATCATTAATTACTAACCAAGAGAAGCAAAGACAACAAGAACAACAAAGAGCATGGTGATGATGGAAGCAAACTTAGCCATGACTATATTAGTTTCTTTGTTTTCAATCTGTGTGTGTGAATTGAAGTGTAAAGGAATAAGTTTAAGATCAACCTCTATTTATAGTGAAAACAAAATGACGTGGAGTTGGTTTTTTCCACTACTTGTGCATCGTACAATAAAATGTTTATAACCCGGCCCACAAATTAAACACCCACTGTCTTTTAGCATATACTTGTTAGGCAAGTAGCTAATTATAGAAGGCAGGATGCTGACGCAAGTACTCGTGCCTACGTTGTCTGGGGTTAGAGACGAATTTAACAAAATAATTTATAAGAGAAGAATAAAAATTTCAAACGGCTGAAACTATAAATTAAGTAAAGTAAATAAGTAATAACTACGTTCTGCTGCTTTTTTGGATGTTTGAAAAGATTATCTACAAAATAAAGCTAAAGTTTTACTAAACATCATATCATTTTTCGTGGAAGTTTCTTTAATCGAGTGATTAATCAAAAATTTATCAATACTTTTACACCATATAGTTTTAGATTCAATTCTTAAAAAATGCGATTTATAAAACTAAATTTATAGAAAATCTCCAATATTGTGCAAGTATATTAAACGTATAGATAAAATATAGATTTATAAAAATCGACTAAAATTAGTATGTTATAAATTATCTATAAAACATATCTCATAATTTATAATAAAAAATAAAAAAACAGGAGGTAAAATAAAAAATATCTCTTTAGGATGTATAGTTATTCTTTAAATCAGTATATATAAAAAAATAGAAAACATAGTTATTCTTTAAATCAGAATACCTAAAGATTGTCAAAAGTTCGAAACTTCCACGGTTTATAAAAAAAAACATCTAGTGTTTTCGAGTTAAAAAAATAACTATACGTCGATATTTTTATAAAGCAATTAAGTTAGAATTTTTTTCTTAGTTATTGACTAAATTAATCTAAAGAAGAGATATTTTGCTTACTAACTAAGAAACAAAATTAACTTAATTACTAACCAAAACCCCTTCTATGACAAAATCAATTAATGCTCACATGCAATTTGATTTTGATGGCCGGCTTGTTTGACCAAGTCCTAGTTAAACAAGTTGTAGAGTTACGATCACATCGCATTTAATCTGGAACTTAGGATATTTTCTGTGGAGTTTTCTTTCCATTCATTTTTATCGAATCCTCAAAGAAGGTACTTCACTAGCTGGCAAATGATCAAATAGGTTGTTTCTTTACCTTCTCTGTTATTTGTGTCATAATCATCAAGCTAAATTACCGACATGTTATACACATATACAGAGATGGTACATAAAAACTTTATATTATAGAGACCGAATGCCCTTTTTATTGGGAGATCGAGATCGACCAAGATTGAACGGTGAAGATGGCCAACCAAAATTATGGAAATAAGAAATATTTCCAGAAGATTATCAATATTGAAGATATTAGGAAAATTAATAATTGTATATAAATTATATTTCTTATTCCGTAAATGTAATAACTTGTTAGACAAATTAGGATTTTGTATAAATAAATTTATTGGCTAATGAATAAAATTGAGAGAAACTATTCTACTACTAAATTTTCCTCCAAAATCTATCATTGTATCAGAACCTAGATCTAATTCTTATGGATAATGATTTTGTTATTTTCCGCTTTAAAAAAAAAAAACTTCTTTTACGTCTGTTTGTAGTTTCTATGTTTCTTCTACTTGTGATTTTTCTCTTTTCCTTCTATTTGATTCTCTTTTTTTTTTTCTAGTTATTTAAGGGTTTAT